CCAACCTTCCTTCCGAGGAGTGGCTGGTGGGTTTGAACCGCCAGCCTTCTGGTTAGCAGTCAAGTGCCTTAGGCACTATGCTACCAGAGCTCCTAGAGATACCGCCTAGGAAACCCAAGCAGGGTTGGGTATAAATCGGATCTGTACTAAAGAAGGCATCACCTGCCCCTGGTCATCTGCCCATTTTTTGCTGTGCCATGATTCTCCTCAGCCTTGGATGAGTGCTCCTCTTCCTTAATTGGTTTTCCTGGGAGGACTTTTTATTTATTTGCCTGTCCATTGAGAGCCAAGCATTATCTCCTGCCTGTCTCTGAATTCAAGTACTTTTGCACACATCAACTTGCAAAACTCTTCTGGTGGCATAGTTTCTAAGGTATTTGACTGCTAACCAGAAGGTTGGCAGTTCAAACCCATCAGCCACTCCAAGGAAGGAAGACTGAGCAAGCAATCTACTTCCATAAAGATTTATCGCCTCAGAAACCCAAAGGGGGTTGCTATGAGATGGAACCAACCAGATAGCAGTGAGTTTGGGTTTTGGTTTGGAGGCCTTTCTCCAGGGTTGCTCAACAATTCAAACCCCAGCACTGGCGCTGGAGAGTTGAAAGCTCCCCCAAAAACAATGCATGCTAAACTGAAATAATGCATTCTGGGTTAAGATCAGAATCTAGTCTTTTGTCAGAGTAATTTAAGATGAAATTTTTCAGCATGTATTTCTCAATAGTTCGTAGGACTGAGGTAAAAGGTCTCATTTTTATGGATTAACACATCATAGTTACATTATGACAAAGGTCTTTATCACTATCCATTTATTCATTTATTCAACAAATTTGAGTGCCAGATGCAATGACAGGCCCTGGGAAGCCAGTGAACAAAACATAATCCCAAAACATTACAATGATTTCTAATACTGTGCTACTTATCTCAAATACACTGGCAAATTTTACAATTTTTTATTTAATGCTAAAATAAAATTGGGAAGAGGGGAGAACATATTGAAATCAACAGACCATGGCTAAATATCAGGGTTCTTTATCATTTGAATATTTCTTTGTATGAAGAACATGGAACAATTATGATAAGCAATACTGGTCAATGAAATATGTATTGTTTACTTAAAAACGAGCTGGTATTCTACTTTTAATATTTCTGCCATGATGCAGACTCAGATCACATAAAATGTACTAACTGCTTGAACAGAGCAATTACAGTGTGTACAGCGAAGACTTTCATGCCAAGAATGTACAAACACATCACATGATTCCAAAACTAATATATTATACCACAAGTAAAATACAAAAGACAAGTTTTACTCTTTGTAGCACATAAAGTATAACTTACCTTTTTCAAACTTAATGGATAGCTTCTGTATTACAACCAATATACAATTATATTAATTTTCTTACCAAAACAGAGTCCAATATATGTACAAAAACACTGAAAGAAAAAAGGTTGGTCCTTGGTGTTTACACATATGTGTACATAGAAATAAACATATATACATTCACAGGTGTGACACACCTTGACAAAATACTAATTTAGAAAAAGTCAAAAAAATTTTAAATCCTGCCAGGCCTTTTTCTCTATCTCTGTCTCTGAGGCTTGATAAAGAACCTAGAAAATTATGAAACAAACAAGAAAGGACACAAAAACCACATTTCAAACAGACAAACTGCTTGTCAGTATTTGGGCCTGATTTGACAAACAGGTTTAATCTACTGCCTCAAAAGTCATGCTGTCTAGGTGAAGAATGAAACTCTTCTACTGGAGTCAGCTGGCTGCTGTTCTGAGACCTGGGCTGCTCTTGCACCTGGGTCACTTTATCTGCTCTCCTTGGAGGAGGAAGTTCATTACCTGTCCCCTGATCATTAGGTGACAGGGTACCAGACAATTCATTTGCCATTAGAACCTGCAAAGATTCTGCTCCATCTTCAATATCTGCTTGAATTCCCAGAGCTTTAAGAATGTCACATTTGCACATGGGGCATGTCCCATGAGCTAGAATCCAAGGGTCAATGCAATTCTTGTGGAAAAAATGTTTACAAGTCAGAACACGAACTGTATCATTAGGCTTATAGAGTTCAAAGCAAACTACACAGCTGTCTCCATTTGGAGTTATTACCTCGTCCCCCTCTTTTAACACCTGGACTTGCAGCTGGCCAAATGCTTTCTTGAGATCTCTTGTTAATCGCTGCCATCTCCTGTTCTGAATCCTTGCTACCCAAAATCTTCGAATATAATAAAAGACCAAATAGGCTAAGGTTGCGGTTGTGACAATAACGAAAGAGACAAAGTAGTGATTCATCCAAATGATGCGTTTTCGCCCCACTTCGATCACAGCTGTGACATGAACACCTTTTTGAATTAAGTGGAAAATTTCGGTGCCTTTTAAGTTGCCAATCATCACCACCACGATGTCTTCAAATGCCTGATGAGACATGGGAAAAACCTGATTGCCAGTTCCTGGAAAGTTATAGATGATGACACCGCTGGCTCCTTTCTCAGCTGCCACCTTAATTTTCTGTGTGAATGTACAACCTCCCCGCTCAATAAGTGCAAGCCATGTCTCTGCGCCCTTTGACCGGCTGAAGCGGGTACTGGGGTTACATGCATTTTGGGACTTTCCCTCTGGTGGCACGATAACGCCCGCCACTCTCTTCAAAGTGGAGCTTCTTCCAAACACTCCAGACTCCCCCAGCTCAGACAACATGCGATTCCCGACATGGAAGGATATGTTCATGTAAGCAGTCCACACAGCGCCGGCTCTGCAACAGTTCTGACTAAGAAGCCAGAGAATACTGAACTTCACAAGCCAGGAAGATGCATCATTGTTCCTCCCAGTGCCAACCTTGGGTAGATTCATCTCTTTCTTCGCCTTGTGACTTAAGAACCAAGCCAACCAAAAGAGGTGGCTCCCACATCTGTTGACAGTTCAATATAAAATGATAAAAGGGAAAAAATCTTCTGGGTGAACACAAGTTCCACGGCCCTCCAGCATGTTTTTGTAAGTTCTTAACGATGTCTTATGAGTTTCAGATGTTTCATTAGAGAGACGAAAGAGAAACTTTAGATTGAAAAGAAACATCACATCCCTACTGTATCTCTAAATGCTGCTCACTGTTGGGTGATGCAATTATGACATAAAAGACAACACAGCCAATCACACAAGACCTTACAGCATGCTCTGAATTTATTGCCTTGAATGTTTTAAATGTTGTTAAGGGTGATTTCTATATTGTAATAAGATGAATTCAATTACTGAGCTACATATAATGTTAGGTATCATGTTGCCTTAAAAATGAAATGTAATTTTCATTTATAAATATAAAATTCATACATTATATATTTTTTTAAAGTCTGAAAGCAAATATTAAGAGAGCTGCGTAGTTATTTTTCTTCCCTATGAGTGAAGAAAATATTTTCAACAAAATAGGCTTTTTAAAAACATGATAATTTATACTTTGGCGAGTAGCGACTTGGATCTTAAAAGCCTGCAAGCAGCCATCTAGATGCAATGATGTATCATCCAGCACAAAGAAGAATGAAGAAAACCAAAGATTCATGGAAAGAATTAGTCCTAGCGACTGGTACACCATGCAATCCGCAGCCTATACGACTATGAGACCAGAAGAACTAGATGGTGCTCGACTACCAATGTCAACCACTTGGAGGGGGATCTATGTAGGAGACCCTGGGTAGAGAGGGTGAACAATGT